GCACCATTGTGCAAAGAAAAAAGTGTCTGCTTTTACATGCTAAATTGCCAAGATCCTTTTGGGGTGAGGCAATGAGGACAGCGGTTGATATAATCAATTTGTCTCCTTATCCTTTGAATGGTGATGTTCTGGAAAGAGTTTTAACCGGCAAAGATGTGCCCTATGAGCACTTGAGAATGTTTGGTTACGGAACCTTTGTTCACATTCCAAAGGATGAGAGGTCCAAACTTGATAGCAAGTCAAGACAATGCATTTTTCTTAGCTATGGATGTGATGAATTTGGTTATAGATTGTGGGATCCGGTTGACAAAGCCGTGCTATTGTGTTTCTTGAAGACCAAACAATTGAAGACTTTGACAAAGGTGATCAACTGGAGCCAAAAACTAGTGGATCTTATTGACATGGATCAATCTCCTTCATCTTTGGGTCAATGATGAAAATGGAGGAGATGTGCAGCTACCTCTTGAAGATTTAGATGATGATACTACTCCAAATGAAGTTGAGCCAAAAATTGAGGAAGAGCATCCAACTCAAGAACCACCACCACAACTTGAGCTGAGGAAATCTACAAGGGATCGGCAACCTTCAAGAAAGTATCCTCCCAATGAATTTGTATTGATTTCCGATCAAAAGGAGCCCGAGAGCTACCAAGAAGCAATTGAGCATGCAAAGAAAGGTTATTGAAAAAAGGCCATGGAAGAAAAAATGAATTCCTCACTTGAAAATCACACTTACGATTTGGTGAAATTGCCTAAGGGAAGGAAAATTCTGAAAAATAAGTGGGTTTTCAAATTGAAGAATGATGGCAAGAATTTGAGGTACAAGGCACGTCTTGTTGTGTAAGGCTTTGGGTAAAAGAAAGGCATTGACTTTGATGAGATTTCTCGCCATTTGTGAAAATGTCTTCTATTCGGATTGTATTTGGCATGGCTTCAAGTATGAACCTTGAAGTTGAACAACTTGATGTGAAGACCGCATTTCTTCATGGTAATCTGGAAGAAGAAATTTACATGAAGCAACCAGAGGATTTTGTGGAAAAAGAGAAAGAGAAATTTGTTTGCAAATTGAAGAAAAGTTTGTATGGTCTCAAGCAAGCGCCGCGACAATGGTACAAAAAAAATGACTTTTGTGATGAATAATGGTTTTTCTAAAACCACTTCGACCATTGTGTGTTTGTGAAAAAAAATTTGGATGACAAATTTATTATTCTTTTGCTTTATGTTGATGACATGTTAAATGTAGGTCAAGATTATACTATGATTAGCAGATTGAAATTGGAGTTGAGCAAGTCTTTTGCTATGAAAGATTTGGGGCCGGCAAAACAAATACTTGGTATGAAAATTGTTCGTGATCGCAAAAATGGACTGATTTGGTTGTCTCAAGAAAGCTACATTGAAAAAGTTCTTGAGAGGTTCAACATGGATAAAGCAAAGCCAGTTGGTTGTCCACTTACAGGTCACTTCAAGCTTAGTTCGAATCAATGTCCTACAAGTGACAAAGACAAGGAAGAGATGCAGAAAAATTCCTTATGTTTCAGCGGATGGTTCTTTGATGTACGCCATGGTTTGTACAAAGCCGGATATTGCTCATGTCGTTGGTGCGACGAGTTGGTTTCTCTCTAATCCAGGTAAAGAACATTGGGCAGCGGTGAAGTGGATTCTGAGATATCTTTGAGGGACTTCGAAGGTGTGTTTGTGTTTTGGGAATAGTAAGTCGATACTTGATGGGTTTACGGATTCCGACATGGCCAATGATGTTGATTCTAGGAAATCTATTTCAAGGTATTTGATGACATTTGCAGGGGGAGCTGTGGCATGACAATCTAAATTACAAAAATGTGTTGCTCTCTCAACTATCGAAATTAAATTTATTGCCATTACAGAAGCTTGCAAAGAAGAGTTATGGTTGAATAAATTTTTACAAGAGTTGGGTTTGAAACAAGAAAGGTATGTGCTTTATTGTGATAGTCAAAATGTTATTCATTTGAATAAAAATTTCACTTTTCATTCTAGATCAAAACACATTGATGTGAAATATCATTGGATTCATGATGTGTTAGATTCGAAATTGTTACAACTCGAAAAGGTTCACACGGATGATAATATTTCAGATATATTAACGAAGACTTTGTTGAGGGACAGATATTTAAAGTGTCAAACTTTGGCAGGTATGATTGATGTCTTCACTTGAGTCGGTAGGGGAAGAAATGTTGGGATATACGTCCTTGTTGGAGTATGGGACCCAATTAGTTTATTAAAATATTTAATTTAGTTCGGTGTTGGTTATAATATATTTTTATATATTATATCTAATTTTTTGGAGGTCCAATGGATATTTAATAATATGTTTGGTAACGACTAGAGTTTTGATAAAAAAACCCAAAAAGTATTGTTTTTGTTTTTTCTCAAGTGAAGGCAGCAGCTATTTTGTGTGTGTGTGTGCGCGCGCGCGTGCGAATGCTGGGTGATCATCTTCAGTGGGGTTATCATCATTATGGACAAGCATAGTGCTGCTGTTTTGTTTCAGTGGGTTTGGCTTGGTGGTGTAAGTAGAAATTGTGTTTGGTTTGTTGCCACTGTTGTTTCTGATTCAAAATTGATTTGAGTTATTATTTTGAATTTTCTACAATTCTATTCGAAGACTTTTGTTCATATATTTGGTATTATTTATTTGTGATTATTTAAAATTCACTTAAGGGTAGTTTGTGAAACCATTCATATCTCGTTTGTAATCGTTTGGAAACTTTTTGGTTGATAGTGGAATCGAATTTCGATCCCGTAGACGTACCTCACATTGAGGGAACCACGTAAAAATTCTTGTGTCACTGTTGATTTAATTTATTTGCATTAATTTTTATTTATATTGATTCATTTCCTTGTGAAAAATCATCTATTTTTTCTAACAGTTAATCTCCTCCCTATTAATCTACTAATCAAAGAGGCTCCAAGGCTATTTGGGGAGCACTTCAAGAAGTAGAATACACTATTTAAGTTCAAGTTTTTTTTTTATTTTATATGAAATTAAAATTTAAAAATTGCACTAGTAAGGCTTAGTACTTGAATTTTTGAAGAATTCAATAAATAATTGAATATGTGAACTGTAAATTTCAATTTCAGTTATTTTCCGAATTTCACGTAATGATTCCAAGCTCAGAACTGAATAAATCCATTAAAAGTTCAGTGATTGCTTAATTTGATTATGCAAAGTTCAATGCAAGCAGAACACAATCCAAGAAACATTGACTTAAATTGACGAGAAGGATATGTCAAAAACAACATAAAATCGAAGCTAACAGAATCGGAACTCACCTTCGGCATTACTAGAGGCCTGAAATTGTTGGGATCTGGGATCCCGCCCAAGACCTTGTAGAAATTATTCCATGCAGAAAAACACACCCACACTCAAGGAGACACAATATTTAACGTGGTTCGGCCTCAATGCCTACGTCCACGGGAGAGTAGCCGGTTATCACTATAACAATGGAAATATTACAGAAAGATTACAATAGAGGAGGAGCTCACACTCTCCTCACTCACACACTCACCCGTCTCCCTCGCTCACACCGAGGGAGACGGTCTCTCCGCCTCACATATTTCACTCTCTGTGGCTTGCTCTACTCTCACTCTCTCTCTCTTCAACTCTTCCCTCAACCTCCATTTATACACTAACAGAATAGGGAGAGCTTGGCTGTCCTTGCACATGGCCAGCTCCTTCTCCACATGTTGCAACTTCTTTCACATGGCCAACACATGAGAAAAGATCACCTTTGTGCATTTGTAGGTTGGCAAGCTTGTGCACTCACATGTGAAGGGAATCACCCCTCACATGGGATGATATCCCACAAATCACCCCCTCAGCCCATGTGAGGTGATTCACAACAAAACCTGCTGCCAATCTTGTCACGCCCAAATTCAACACAGTTTGCATCTCCTCGCTAAGACGCTGCATCCCTTGAAAGCTAGAGATAATACACCAGAGATATAAGAGGAGGAGGGAATCCTACATCCTCAACTCAACTCACACCACTCTCTGATTTGGAGAGAACCGCTGCTCCTATCTCCTACAGATCTCTTCCACACTTCCTGTCTCGGATGTCTTCAGCATAGTCTGCATCTCCTCACTGAGATGCTTGCACCCCCTGAAGCTAGAGATAATACACCAGAGATACAAGAGGAGGACGAAATCCTACATCCTCAACTCAACTCACACCACTCTCTGATATGGAGAGAACCGCTGCTCCTATCTCCTACAGATCTCTTCCACGCTTCCTATCTCGGATGTCTTCAGCATAGTCTGCATCTCCTCACTGAGATGCTTGCACCCCCTGAAGCTAGAGATAATACACCAAAGATATAAGAGGAGGTGGGAATCCTACATCCTCAACTCAACTCACACCACTCTCTGATATGGAGAGAACCGCTGCTCCTATCTCCTACAGATCTCTTCCACGCTTCCTATCTCGGATGTCTTCAGCATAGTCTGCATCTCCTCACTGAGATGCTTGCACCCCCTGAAGCTAGAGATAATACACCAAAGATATAAGAGGAGGTGGGAATCCTACATCCTAAACTTGTTACGTTTATTAGCTTATGCAATCAATAATAAGAAGCTTACATTATACAATCAACTATTAAAACTTTCAAAGAGTTACCAAAGTTCATGTTATTGAAACTTTAATACATAGATATCATCTTTAAAGTAAATCCTCATATTCTCAAAAGGTAGATATAGAATAAGACTAAAGGTTATGAAACAAGTGATAAATTAGTATGAGCTAAAGTAGTACTGAAGTACGACTTACAAGTACTGCAAATTCGTAAGCAGTCCAAGTTGTGGAACCAGTTGACCAGACAAATTTGCATTTCCACGATCACTGGATGTACACAAATGGAAGCAAAATTCATCATCAATCACACCACTGAAAATGGTAGTACGAAAGCAACAATAGTTTCATATAGCAAGTTACATCACAAGAATTGTCACAGATGTTAGCAATTTACACTCTTGTAACGCTGTTCTCACTGTTGCACGTTACACGATACCAAGTGCAGGGATTGACAAGTGTAGCATCCCAACTTTGCAGAGCATTATTAGGATCAGTTAAGTTGGTCTTCAGCGCATTCAAGGCATCGCCTGTTCTTCATGAAAGAGGCAATCATCAGGTACTTGTCAAATGCATTAACATTGTTAGAGAATATTTCCAAGATATTCTATTCCTATATTTACCTATTTCCTTGCTTAAGTTATTAAATGATTAGCACTCTACGTTTCTTCATTGATTAGTCTATGTAACCATATAACTAGGGTACCACTTGTAATAGTTATATCAATCTTAATACAATATTTCACTTTCACCATAATTCTAACAAACATCATCAACCAAAACAAATCCCAAGAGGATGTAAGCTACTAAGTTGTGTAACAGACTAACACTCATACCATAACATGAAGATTTTCAAATTCTACAACTTAATTCAAAGTTACTAAATACGACATCAAGGCCTTGTTTGATTAGCGGATTATAGCATAAGATTAGGATTATTAATTCATGGCACTCGCATTCCATTGTTTGGTTTCCGATTTTGTTATTCAAATTAAATTCCAGTGGCCATTCTATCCAATAAAATTGGCCCATTTTTTAATCCTACAACTAATAACATAAAACATACATGTAATTGAGATTATATATTTCCATATCTATTGCGAAACAAACATGGACAAGGGGGAATTATGTACCTCACTAATCCAACTGGATAACTAATCCTATACTAATCTCATGAATTGTTAATCCCCTCACTATTAATCCAACAAATCAAACAGGCTCCAAGGCTATTATTAGGAGAGCACTTCAAAAAGCAGAGCACACCATTTAAGTTCAAGTTTTTTTTATTTTATTTTATTTTTATATGAAATTAAAATTTAAAAATTGCACTAGTAATGCTAAGTACTTGAATTTTTGATTGAATTCAATAAATAATTGAATAAATGAACTGTAAATTCCAATTTCAGTTCTTTTCCGAATTTCACGTAATGATTCCAAGCTCAGAACTGAATAAATCCATTAAAAGTTCAGTGATTGCTGAATTTGATTATGCAAAGTTCAATGCAAGCAGAACACAATCCAAGAAACATTGACTTCAATTGACGAGAAGGATATGTCAAAAACAACATAAAATCGAAGCTAACAGAATCGGAACTCACCTTCGGCATTACTAGAGGCCTGAAATAACCGAGAAAAAACCAGAAATAGGCAAAGAAAAGCCGAAGATGAGATCGCCGAGACCGCTCGATCCATTGCCACAACAATTGCTTCAGCTAAAAACCTACATATTCCTCATCAACTCTTAGAACTAGTAATTAAAAAAAAAAAAAAATTCAAAATCAAACTTTTAGTTGAAGGAAATCTAAATCGCTTGGTAGCCAAACATTGGCACCTATCGGTTGATTGAAAATGGGAATCGGAAGGGGAAGTCGTCGCCGGAGCTCACCGGAGGGGAACTGTTTGGAGCTGACTTTGACGCTGAAGGTATATAAGGAAATTTTCTTTCACTTTCCCGGGAAAATTCTGAGAGAATGCCGGAGAGAGAGATAGAGATTGAATATAACGGTCCGTACGGAAGGGGGTTAGAGAGAGAGAGTCGTTTGTGGCGGGGTTTTAGTCAAAGCCTCTCTCTCTTTCACACTCTCTCACGGTGTTTCTCTCAATCTCTGTTCTCTACTCTACTCCTTGACTGCTATTTTCCAAGTAGAAATTTGTAGTGTGCTTGGTTATCATTTTTTAAAAACACTTCTCTATGGATAATTTTATTTTCTTATTTTTCATATTTTTTTATTTTTATTAAATTTTTTTAATATTTTGAGCAATTTTTTTAATTTTTAGACATATCTAACGTAAATATACCTAAAAAGTAAAAAAAAAAATTGAAAAAAAACCTTTTAAAAATTCACTAAATATCAAAAATGCAAAAACAAATACGAGAATTCAGTACATTTTTTGTATTTTTTTATATTTATTAATTTTTAAAAATATTTTTTCATAAATTTTTTACTTTTTAGATATATCTAAGTAAGGTGCATCTAAAAAAGTAAAAAAAAAAATATTTAGAATTTTAAAAATATTCACTAAAAACAAAAAATACAAAAGCCAAAAAACTCAATTTTTAAAAAACTTAATTCAAAAAACTCAAACCAAACACACTGTAACTTTCTTTATTTTTATTTCTTGAATTTTTTTTTTTAAAAACAAAATCAGAAACGAACTTCCTTACATCTTATCTTACATATTGGGGGGAAGAAAGCTAGAGCTTAACCATAGCCCTTGTTCCAAAGAAGTCATAGTTGTCAAATCACGTACAAATTTCAAAGCAGGTCGTAAAAATTTTAAAGTATGGGATTTTTAAAATATAATTTTATGAATGTGACTGTTTCAGCAGAAATAAATGAGTTGGTGAAAGAAATAGGTATTATCATATTTTGTTTGAATAGTCATTTAAATTATTTTTATTTAAAAAAAGGCGTACCAAAATAAAAGAGAAAAAATGTAAGGTTAAAATAAATATTTTATTTCAGTCCATTCTATCATAGCAAATGTGTTCAAAAAAATTTGGGTATAGAGAATCTCATGTCAGTTATACTGTTAAAAAATTTAGACACAAAGTGGATGAAGTGTGCTATTTCGTCAACATGAGAGAGGGAGAGAGATGAAATGTCATTTTTGAAACAATGGCTAGATCTATGTGCATATCCATTTTTTAAAAAATCTTTTTTCTGGGTATATCGACCCCTCTCTTCTTCAAAGATCGCTCCATTGGTAGATTCTATTGAGCCTCGGCATAACATTTTTTATCTCATTCGTATTCTTAGATTCGGCAAACATGAGATGTTTCTGACACTTGAAGAAGTGCATCGAATTTTAGAGATGTCCCTTTGCTTTCAATCTTCCAAGTCATATTCAGAGATCCCAAACGCTTAACAAAGCTATAATTAGTAATCACAAATGCTCAAGTGTTATAATTTGCTTTCAAACTAAATACAAAATGTATTTATCGGTGTATAAAATATATACTAGTTGGACACATGACATAACCTTTCCAGCCATGTTTTTGCTTATACCTAAAAATTCATAATCATCGTCATATAAACTGAGCTAAAAAAAATAAAAAGCTAAAGAAGAGAAATCATATACACAGATGGTATATATCACATTTGAATAAAGAGTGGGACTCCAAGAGACTTCACTGTATGCTGAAAACAAAATCCAATTAAAAGATCATCTCGGACCGGACAATTCTTCTGGAGGGAGGTTGGGAGTGGAGTCGGGAAGGTTGTTGACTTGGGCAATGATCCAATCGTTATTTTGGTGGTGGATATTGACGAACTCTTGCCGAAACATCTCCTCCTTCTGCCACTCTTCCCACTTCTTCGCCAACCCATCGCCTTCGAGCATTCTGACAACTTCTGACATCTTGGGACGTTCCATTGGGGAGTTCAGCGTGCAGAGCAAAGCCACCTGGATAAGTTGCTCCACCTCATCTTCGACATAGTTTCCCTGCATATCTACATCGACTAGTGTTTCCATCTTCCTGTCTTTCAGAAGTCCTTTTACCTGAATTTTTTGGGTATTTTGAATCACAGATGTAGGTTATGAAATGATCTCATTAATAAGGAAGAGCACCGTCTATCCATTACTTTCCAAATTAGAGAAAGCAGCATAATAGTAAAAGAAAATATAAAAAAATTAGACTTTTGAAAACTGATAATAAAAATGAAATGGAAAGACAAAGGTGGCTTATGATTTTCAATTTTGATTCAAAATTTCCTTTTTTTCTGTCCAAATTGAAATGTGTGAAAAATTTCAATATAGAGTTTAGGGTGTCCAAGGTAAAGACTGAGCCTCAAATAGTATTATGGTGTATTTTTCTTTTCAAGGTTCAACACTATGAAATAAAAGATGACTAAATTCTAAGTTTCCTGGCATTTGAAAACATGATGGTCATTGAAGATTATGATACTATAAAAATCAGCAAATCACGATGATGACAAATTTCTTCAATATAACTGTTGAGTGGACTTTACTTTAAAATGCAATGAGCAAGACATTTTTTTTTTTTGAATACCATCATGAACATTACTCGACTCATTTTTATTTATATAAACAACAGAATAAAAATTCCATTCATGTGCTTTTGACAAATCTTATAGCTAGCAAATTGAAAGTAGATTTTTTACAGAAGGGCTTTTAAGATAAACTCAAAGAATGTTATGAAAACAGTCAACTCAAGTACCCTAGTTACATAATTAAAACAGATCATATGAGAGAAATAAATGCTTACCCAATCAAACAACATAACGTCGTCGTCATTGGCAAGTCGACCAAGATCAAAAGCCTTTTGTCCAGTGATGAGCTCCAGAAGCATAACTCCATACCCAAAAACATCAGTTTTCTCTGAAGACTTTCCAGTGGAGAGGTACTCGGGAGCAATATGCCCAATTGTACCACGTACAACAGTGGTAACATGTGTATCCTTGTAATCCATAAGTTTCGCTAACCCAAAGTCTCCAACAACTGCTTCGAATTCCTCATCCAACAATATATTTGCAGCTTTGACATCACGGTGAATTATCTTTGGATTGCAATGATCGTGCAAATATGCAAGGCCTCTTGCGGATCCCAATGCAATTCGCTTCCTTTTGGGCCAATCAAGTGGGGGTTGTGAATCAAGTCGCTCTACAACAATGAAGCAATTAGATCATGGAAACATTGTAGAGATTAAGTAGGGTCGGGAATATTGATTTTTAAAATCTTCAACATTTGCTCAAAAACTTTGGGTCAACTACAATTTTTTAAATATTAAATATATATATGAAAATGTGATTTCCTCCCCCCCCCTCCCAGTTTCTTTTGTCTTCAGCGTTTTTTTCTCTTCATATTTTAGTCTTTTTATTTTATTTTATTTTAAAACTTTTTAGATGCATCAAAAAAGTATTTAAAAAAAAACTAAAATATGAAAAATTTACTACCATTCTATAAAAATTGAGTTTTTTTTTATTTTTTATATTTTTTGTTTTTAGTGAATTTTTTTAATATTTTAAGCAAATTTTGTACGTTTTAGATACACTTAATGTAAATACAATTAAAAAGTATAATATTTGTAATAAAAAAAACTTTAAAAAATTCACTACATACCAAAAATACAAAAAAAAAATTGAAAATTCGGTACATTTTTGTATTCTTTTGTATTTATTGATTTCTTTTAAATGTTGTTAAGCAAATCTGCCGGTCCTAAGCCTAGGTAAGGGAGGAGGGTTGTGTGTTAAGGTAGCCGATAGCCAATACGTAAAAAAGCCGCTCGGATCCTTTATGGCATGAAGCCTAATACTCTAAATTGATTAAATACTAGGTTGTTCCCCTTAGGTGATACGTTGTGCCTGCTTCCGGGTGTTTCGAAAAGTGAGCAAAAAGCGCCGCATTGACACTTGGGTGAGGTGAAAATGGACAAAGGTTTTCTCATTTTTCTGGACGAGCGCAAATAAAGAAGCTAGTCCAAGATTTTAGGTTTAGGGTAGTCACATGGAATATAGGAACTTTAACTGGTAAGACTATAAAATTGGTAGATGTCATGATTAGAAGACGAGTTAGTAGAACTTGCGTACAAGAAACAAAGTGGACAGGTGAGAAAGTTTGAGAAATAGAGAATACTGGTTTTAAGCTATATTATAATGGCAAGGATAGGCACAGGAATGGGTTAAGAATAATAGTTGCCAAAAATCTTGTAGAAAATGTAGTTGCGGTCATTAAGAAATGTGATATGATTACGTTAGTTAAACTAGTTATTGGAGAGAATATAGTGAACGTTATTAATGCATATGCCCCCCAAGTAGGATTAGATGATTAGACTAAGAGAGTTTTTTGGACCAAATGGATGAGGTATTATAGGCGATACCCATAGAAGAGAACCTAGTTATAGATGGTCATTTCAATGGCCATGTAGGAGTAGATAAACTAGGGTATGAAAGGGTGCATGGTGGGTATGGTTTTGGTGATAGAAATGAGGCCGGATAGAGTATTTTAGATTTTGTGTTGGCTTCTGACCTAGTGGTGGCCAATACTATGTATAAGAAGAGATAGGAGCATTTGATAACCTTCAAGAGTGGATCAATTAAGAGCCAAATAGATTACTTTCTAGTAAGAAAAGGGGACCGTCTAAAATACGGTGACTGTAAGGTGATTCCTGGAGAAAGCTTGGTGTCTCAACAGAGGATTTTGCTACTAGATTTATGTTTTAAAAGGCAATACCAAACTTCGAAAGATAGTGGGCGTCGCAGGACTAGATAGTGGGACCTAAAAGGGAATAAACTAGATACATTTAAGAATAGAATGTGAAAAATCTAGTAATCCCCTAGATATTGATTTGTGATTATGTATCAATTTTAAGCAGTAAATAAGAATCCCAATTAAACAATCAAGACAAATCGACACAACGATTTTACGTGGAAAAATCACAATTGGAGCGGCTCTAATTGTGATAAAAAAAACCACAAGCAAAAGCCACAAAACAATCCACTAAGAAGACATAAAGGAATTATACAAATGTACTCTCAATTACCTAGCGAACCCACGCTCGAATCGAACCGACCCCTATGTGCCTCTTCTAACCTCGTCTTCACCTCGGAATTGTCTTGCCTAACGTTGAATCCACAACGCCGATGTCGAATCACGACGATGAGCCACTCCAGAATCCACCAAAGCTTTAAGCTCGAATTCCACAGAATCTACCAAAGAAAAACACTCTCTTTTGTATTGAACAAAACAAACAATCCTTTGATGTACACTTTTCAAACAAGATTTAAACTTAAACAAACATAAAAAAAAAAAACTAGCAAAGAAGCTCCAGATATAAACCCTATCCAAGAAGAAGATCTGGAAGCCGTAACCCTAAAATCTGACTAAAACACATATTTATAGAAAATCGAGCCGCGATGGTCGCTCGAGCGAAGGATCTCTTGCTCAAGCGAGGAGACTAAAACGCATGTTTTCCAAGTGTAGTGTCGCTTGAGCGAGAAATGCCACTTCTCAGTATTTTTACAGTCAGTGAAAACTTCTGGGACCAAGGATTCTTCGCTCGAGCAACAAAACAACTTCAACTGTAATTTTGCTTTCTGGTTTCAGGGGCGCCGCCCCTTGTTCCCCGACATAGTCAGCGAAGTGGCAAACACGAAAGAATTAACTTCTGAAACATCTTTGCAAGGCACAATTCGGGTTGGATTCGCATCTAAAAACTCATAGCCTCATTGAAATAAAAGTTGAATAAAATTACAACTGAAAGGAGTTTTGTCAAACGGGATTACTAAGAATAAAAACCTAACAGAATGGATAAAGAAGGTACTTGGGACTTGGAAAATGATGCTAACACTGTGTGAAACTCGATGGCCAATTGTATGAGGAAAATCTCAAGGGAATTTTTTGAAAAGTCGAAAGGAAAAGGACCCAACTTTAGGAAAACTTGGTGGTGAAGGAAGGAGGTCCAAACGGTAATAAAGACCAAAAAAAAAAAAAGCTTTAAAAAGTTACAGAATAATAGAACTGAGGAAAACCTTAAGCGCCATAGATTGGCTAATAAGGAAGTCAAAAAGGTAGTGAGGGAGACTAAGTTGAAAGCTTATGATGACCTATACACTAGATTAGATAGTAAGGATGGAGAGAAGAAGATATACAAACTTGCTAAGATAAGAGAGAGGAAAACAAGAGATTTTAATCATGTTAAGTGCATCAAGGGTGAGGACTCTAAGGTGTTGGTGAATGATGAAGAAATTAAGGAGAGGTGGAAGAACTATTTTGAGAAGTTATTAAATGAGGAACATGGAGGTAGGTCAAAAGGGGAAGAAGTAGGCAGTAATAAGGAAAACCACCACTATAGGTTCTATCGTAGGATTAGGGACTTTGAAGTGGAGTTTGTACTTAAGAAAATGAAATTGAATAAGGCTTTAGGACTCGATGATATACCTATTGAAGCGTGAAAATGTTTAGGTAAGAAGGGGATTGTTTGGTTGACTAGGTTATTTAGCAAGATTTTGTTGACAAGAAAAATGCCAAAGGAGTGGAGAACGAGTATTTTAGTGCCAATATATAAGACTAAAGGAGATGTCCAGAATCGTAACAACTATAGAGAAATCAAGTTAATGTGTCATACAATGAAAGTGTGGGAGAGAATGATGGAACGTTGATTGCGAGATATAACAGAGGTATCAGAGAATCAATTTGGGTTTATGCCTAGTAGGTCAACAATGGAGCAATCTATCTTTTGAGGAGAGTAATAGAAAAAAAAAAGAAAAAAAAAGAGACATTCATATGATTTTTATCGATATTGAGAAAACATATAATAGAGTGCCTTGGGATATAATCTAGTGGGTGTTAGAGAAGAAAGAAGTGGCAAAAGGTTACATTAATGTGATTAGGGATATGAATGAAAGTGCTGTGACCACTATTAGATCACCTGCTGGAGAGACTAGTGAATTTTTAATTTCTGTAGGGTTATACTAAGGACCAACTTTAAGTCCTTATCTTTTTGCTTTAGTTATGGATGAGTTGACGTGCAATATTCAGGATGATGTGCCATGGTATATGCTCTTTACAAATGATATCGTGTTAGTGGATGAGACTAGAGAAGAAGTTAACACGAAGTTAGAGATTTGGAGAAAAACACTTGAGTTTAAAGGATTTAGGATAAGCAGAAATAAGATAGAGTATATGGAGTGTAATTTTAGTAGCAGTCATAATGGGAGCAAATGAGAAGTAAAGATTGAAGACCAAAAACTATCTAAGAGTGAACATTTTCAGTATTTATGATCAATTATCACAACGACTAAGGAGATTGGTGTGGTTATGGTCCACAGAATTAAGGCGGGGGTGGCTTAAGTGGAGGAGTGCGTCTAGAGTACTGTACGATAAACGAATACCCATTAGACTAAAATGGAAGTTCTATAGATTTGCTATTAGACTAGGGATGTTGTATGGAATGGAATGGAATGTTGAGCAACTAAGAAACAACAAGTAGAAAAGATGAGTGTTGCTAAGATGAGAATGCTAAGATGGATGTGTGGCAAAACTAGAAAAGACAGAGTTAGGAATGAGTATATTCAAGAATGGGTTGGAGTAGTACCAATAGAAGATAAGTTGAGAAAGAATAGATTGAGATGGTGTGGAATATACAGCGAAGACCAATAAAGACAATAGTGAAGAGATGCGATGTAGTGACGGTAGATGGTATTCACGTGAGCTAGTGTAGTAAATAGATATATGAATCTCCTTAATTTGACCAACAAAATGGAGAAGAAGGATTGATGCAACCGACCTCATTTGATGAGACTTAAGACTTGGTTTGATATGGCTTGGTTTGGTTTGGTTTTACAAATATTTTACTTTTTAGGTACATCTAGGTTAGATGCATTTAAAAAGTTAAAAAAAAACATAAAATATTAAAAAAAATTCATTAAAAACAAAAAAAATATGAAAAATAAAAATCTCAATTTTCAGAAAATTAAAATTCAAAAAATTGAAACCAAATAGAGTGTCATAAAACCGTTTTTGAAAAATCAAACTAAACAAGCCTTTTCTCTTGGTATCAAATTGGGAATTGGAATAGAAATAAAGCATATTGTATCAAATCTACTAAAAGTTCTAATGAATATAATACTTGACGACCAATTAAAAAAGGGTAGCATATGAAGATGCATGCAAGTAGTACCTCTTAAACAGGAGGCAACACTTCCATTAGACATAAAGGGATAAACAAGCAATCGTTCTGTCAGTGTCATGCAAAAGCCACACAAAGGCAGTAAATTTCGATGGACGGCCATGCTGACCATTTCCACTTCTGTTTGGAACTGCAGCTCCCCACCCTGAGTGCGTTCCTCTTTTAGTCTTTTTACTGCCACTAGAGAGCCATCAGCCAATCGTCCTTTGTATTCCATACCAAACCCACCTCTTCCTAGAATATTTATGTTGCTAAAATTATCAGTTGCAACTTGTAGTTCATGCAGAGAAAACCTCTTGAGCTGTCCTAGATGAACTTCTGGACCCTTTTCAGCTGAAGAGAAAGGGGAAATGCATTATACAACACCATAACAATCAATTTAAGCCTTGTTCAAAAAAAAATATAAATAAAAATCAATTTAAGGCATTTTCAACTTGGTCCACTAACCAGGTACATCAAAGAAACTGTCCTCTAGTTTCCTTCGCCGCCACCAAGCAAGTGCGAGAAACAACAAGGCAGCACCAGCAACAACTCCTCCAGCAATGGCTCTAGTGGCACTATTAGTAAGTTCACTCTTATTGTGCATTCCCTTCACAACTGAAAAGTTTTGATAGGAAGACAATTCAATGGAATAAAACAATGCCATGGTTTGGACAATCTAGGTGCAGAGTCAAGTGGAAAAATTAGATTCTAACTTTACCAACATATCATAAGTCGCTAATCTAAAGAAAGCTAAAAATTGTACGATACTCGGACAAATAAAAAAGATCAAAGCATGGAGGTTTCCCTAGAAAATAAGTATTGGTCATCATAATTTAATATGTGGGGAAACTAAAACCTATATATATTGGTTTAGGAATTGACCTAACATACAATTTATTTTCGTATAGTTGCTTTCAAAAGCAATAATGTGCATGAAGTAAGAAAGAAAAATTACAAATCCAGTCAAGTCATCTGTGACAAGGTCTGAATAGGTAGCATGGAACGAAATTTATAATTAAAGAATTGAGGAATTGAAAGTGTTGGACAAACAGAACAGAACCCAATATCAGTAACAACCTAGGATAAAACGAAACAAACCTGAAGCAATAGATGGGGGTGGCGGAGAAAATGGAGGCGATGGAGGAGTTGGAGGAATTGTTAAATTATTATTTCGAAAACTGAAAAATGAAAGAATAGTGGTCAGCATATGTCCAGATGAGTCACCTGACTCCACTAGTATGAAAAATGATGTTACCATCAACAAACCTGCTGGAAGTAAAAAGTTGAAAGGAGCCATTAACTGGGACAACTCCTGTTAAGTGATTGTTTGAAAGATCACTGTATACCAAATGGCAAGACGCCATATCATATTCTCGTAGTTAGTTTATGCCAATTAAAGCTAATCAAAAAAAGAAACAAAAAAAGAAAAACCTTTATTATTCCCCAAAAGGAAAATAAAGTGTGGTGATATTAGCACCTCATGAATTATTTTGAGTTCCCATTTCTTTGGGCCCCACTTATAAATTTTGAAAGAGTTGTGCTATTAGCACTCCATAAATTATTTAGACCCCCCATTTCTTTGGCCCCCATTTATAAATTTTGAAACCCTCAAAATTTCTTCCCCAAAATAATACCAAAATTATCCTTGTGAAAACATTCCACCCATTGAATGCACACCCTCTCACAACCCCACACCCCAAAAAAACCCCTTTTCCAAAAAACCTCAACAAAACACATTAAGAAGAAGAAGAGCCAATATGATTACTGTCTCTGCTGCCTCATCCATCATTGTCACAGTTGGTGTGCTCTCTCTCTCTCTCTCTCTCTCTCTCTCTCTCTCTCTCTCTATATATATATATATATATACATACATACATACATACATAATTTCTTAGTTTTCTCGTAATAATTTCTTCTCTTGCAGGAAAAAAAATTATAAGAATTGGTTTGGTTGGTTTTATTGGTAGATATTATAAAATTGTGAGTTTAGCAAAGAACTACGCAGCAATATTATCAAAGCTACGCGATGAAGGAATAACTTTTGAACCAGATAATGGATTTGGGCTACTTCCGATAACTTCTGCAAGTGTTAAAAATTTTGACCATTCAATGTTCTAAGAAATTTTCATGTTCGGACATGTATTCCCGAACATTACTTATTTGTTCGGATTACCCCGAACAAATAAGTAATGTTCAGGCCTGTATTCCCGAACTTGAAAAAATGAAAATTTCTGCAAGCGTTAACAATTTTGACCGTTCAATGTGTTAAGAAATTTTCATGTTCAGACCTGCATTCTTGAACAAATAATAAATGTTCGGTTACTGATCCCCAAACAAATAAATAATGTTCAAGCTTGTGTTTCCAAATTTCGATCATATGTTCGGGAGTTCTCTTCTAAAAAAATGACGAACATATTTTATTATTTTTGTCATTTTTTTCGAAAAACTTAAATCTCCTTTAAACTAAGAACAACATCAAAGTTATGAATCTCCTCTAAGGTTTAATGGTTGTACTCCTCTCGTTTTATGGAGTTGTGGTTACTAGAAAAACTTCCACTCATTGTCATTGCCGGAGAAGTGTAGGTAATCAAATGGTTGCCACTGTTACAGCCGGAATATTGCTACCAAAGGATTTTCAAAGTTTTGAGGTTGGGTAGGTTTTGAAGGTGGGATTTGGTAAAGATGGATGGGTGGTGATGGAGGTAGGTACTCTCATAAATCCTAATTCATGATGTAGTGGGTGTGTAGGTTTAATTGTGAGATGGAGTGTCCCAAAATTAATAATGTTCTTTTTAGTAATTTTATTTAAGGTTATTATTGTAATAAAAAAAAAAGTTAAAAATTGAGGGGTGCAAAATAATTTATGGGGTGCTTATACAGCACTCATTTTGAAACCCTCAAAATTTCTTTCCCTCATAAATAATACCAAAATTATCCTTGTGAAAACATTTCACCCATTAAATGCACACCCCCCACACCCCAAAAAAATCCCCCTTTTAAAAAACCCTAACAAAACCCAACAAGAAGAAGATAAGCCGATGTGATTACTGTCTCTGCTGCCACATTCACCATTGTCACAGTTGGTATGCTCTCTCTCTATATATATATGTACATAATTTCTTAATTTTCTCGTAATAATTTCTTCTCTTGCAGAATTTTTTTTTTATAATAATTGGTTTGGTTGGTTTTGTTGGTAGATATTATAAAATTGTGAGTTCAGCAGAGAACTACGCAACAATATTATCAAAGTAACGTGATGAAGGAATAACTTTTGAACTTGATAATGGATTTGGAGTTCTTCCGTTGACTTCTACAAGTGTTAAAAAATTTTACCATTCAATGTGTTAAAAAATTTTCATGTTCGGACCTACATTCCTGAACATTACTTATTTGTTAGGGAATGCTTCTTGAACAAATAAGTAATATTCGGGCCTCTATTCCCGAACTTGAAAAAATGAAAATTTCTGCAAGCGTTAACAGTTTTGACTATTCAATGTGTTAAGAACTTTCAATGTTCGGATCAACATTCCCGAACATTACTTATTTGTTCGGGAATGCCTTTCCGAACAAATAAGTAATATTTGAGCCTGTATTCCCAAACTTGAAAAAGTGAAAACTTCTGCAAGCGTTAATAATTTTGACCATTCAATGTGTTAAGAAATTTCTATGTTCGGACCTACATTCCCGAACATTATTTATTTGTTTGGGAACGCTATCCCGAACAAATAAGTAATGTTTTGACCTGTATTCCGCCAAAAGGTTGCCACTGTTACCGCCGGAACATTGCCATTACCGAATAAGTGTAGATAGTCAAATGGTTGCCACTGTTACCGCCGGAATATTGCCGCCAAAGGATTTTCAAGGTTTTGAGGGTGGGTAGGTTTTGAAAGTGAGATTTGAGGAAGATGGATGAGTGGTGATAGAGGTTGGTACTCTCATAAATCCTAATTCATGATGTAATGGGTGTGTAGGTTTAATTGTGAGATGGAATGTCTCAAAACTAATGATGTCCTTTTTAGTAATTTTATTTGAGGCTATTATAGTAATAAAAAGAAGTTAAAATTAAGGGATTCAAAATAATTTATGAGGTGTTAATAGCAGCACTCAAAATAAAGAACACGCTAACTTGGTACTCACAGGACTTGAAGTGAATTGATAGTAGTCAATGACATAGGAATAGTTCCAGACAAAGTGTTGTTGTTAAGCCGTCTATCCTTGCAAATAAATACAAGGAACAGGCATCAGCACATTCCAAACAATCAAAATGGTATATCAATAAAATTCCTAGGGACATGGCTGATCAACGCTAGTAGATGCACATAATACATGCAACATGTGATCAATCGGAGCCCTCTGTGCAATATAACCCAATTTCGGATGAAAGTTGATCTGCAATGTACAAACAACTAGTAGATGCACATAATACAGTAACATATGATTAAAACAAATAACCCTTCAGCACTGTTTGCCAGGATGCTATTTCTTAATCATGGATCAATGTGCATTTTAATAATTTTACTAAGAAAAAGTAAAAATCAATGCATTTGTCACCAAAATACCTAGTCTTTATAGGCCCTACTGTATATTAATCTAGACATCTTGACAACAATGGGATTTCCATCTTTGGGGTTGATTTCAATCAAACATGCAATATCCTAGACTGAATAACTTGAATAATTTGTTTTAATGCATTTTTCTAAATATACGGAAAAAAAATAAAAATAAAAATGATAGAGAAATCATGAGAGTATATTATTTAAGAAATCACTAAAAAACTAAAACAAAGCCACTGTATCCATATTCCCATATATCAACGCATAAGCAACCCACTTTTGAGAAAACCTTGTAAAAAGAAAACTGAAATACAATAAAAGTAAACTTAAACAGGTGCACAATAAATTTAATAACATAAGTAAAAAATATGAAGGATATGTAATTCATACAGGAAATGTAATTTCTGAAGCCTGCCCAATGTGTCCGGGATGATACCACTCAAATTGTTCAAGTAAAGATCCAAGCTCACCAAACTTGTCAAATTGCCAAGCTCAATAGGAATTCTTCCACTTATGTTGTTGCTATAAAGCTCCCTGTCAAGAAACATGTTAATAATATGCAAACCAAAGGGACAAACAAAAGATGATCATGTTATTAATGGGAGAAAAATTGTGCAGCAATATCAAGATAATGAGTACAAGGGGAACAAAAAAGGGCTCAAGCAACCAACTATGAACCACCCATTTTTAAAAGACAACCTAACACAATAAGCTGCTAGGAAACTGGAGTTTCTTTCTAGAGGTTAGTTGTTTCATCAAAGTAAAAGATGCACATGATCACAATCAGTACAAAATATTAACAAAGAAGTCAAGACAAATGCTTTAAGGGGAAGTCAAAACATATTTAGCTCTTTTGCAGATGAAGTTGTACATGACTCCAAAACCTAGCATTGCAATAGACTGATTTATTTATTCATTTATTTATTTATTTTTTGCGGGGGGTTACAATGGAAGCCAATAAAACAAAACACTAAACATGAACTCACCTGGGAATGCCCAATCAGAGGTATCCCAAATCATTCAAAGCACAAGAATATGCCCCTTTAGTCATTTGTTCCTTTTTAACCAGAAAAGCTGAACAATATCATGTATATCATGTATTCTCCATTATCATGTGCATGTATGTGTGGAAGAGCATGTTTTCAGGGTTGTCTTTATACATAAAATGATGATATCCAGATAGTCAAATCAAGGGAATGAAACTAGGGTCTCAAGTGTGTTGAATACAGCACAATGAAAGATTCAACAGAGGATTCAAAACTACGACATATAGAAAGTAACTGAGTTTCGCCAAAACAAAGTTAATTTTTGTCAATGCACATTATTATTTCTCAACATCAGAATATGGCCAAAAATAAAACTAAATTATATTTTAGTTAACAACTATAGAGAGGGAAGAAGTTTATGACCCAAACTTGTTACGTTTATTAGCTTATGCAATCAATAATAAGAAGCTTACATTATACAATCAACTATTAAGACTTCCAAAGAGTTACCAAAGTTCATGTTATTGAAACTTTAATACAAAGATATCATCTTTAAAGTAAATCCTCATATTCTCAAAAGGTAGATATAGAATAAGACTAAAGGTTATGAAACAAGTGATAAATTAGTATGAGCTAAAGTAGTACTGAAGTACGACTCACAAGTACTGCAAATTCAGAAGCAGTCCAAGTTCTGGAACCAGTTGACCAGACAAGTTTGCATTTCCAAGCTCACTGGGTGTACACAAATGGAAGCAAAATTCATCATCAATCACACCACTGAAAATGGTAGTACGAAAGCAACAATAGTTTCGTATAGCAAGTTACATCACAAGAATTGTCACAGATGTTAGCAACTTACACTCTTGTAACGCTGTTCTCACTGTTGCACGTTACACGATACCAAGTGCAGGGATTGACAAGTGTAGCATCCCAACTTTGCAGAGCATTATTAGGATCAGTTAAGTTGGTCTTCAGCACATTCAAGGCATCTACTATTCTTCATGAAAGAGGCAATCATCAGGTACTTGTCAAAAGCATTAACATTGTTAGAGAATATTTCCAAGATATTCTATTCCTATATTTACCTATTTCCTTGCTTAAGTTATTAAATGATTAGCACTCTAGGTTTCTTTGTTGATCAGTCTATGCAACCCTATAAATAGGCTACCACTTGTAATAGGTATATCAATCTCAATACAATATTTCACTTTCACCATAATTCTAACAAACATCATCAACCAAAACAAATCCCAAGAGGATGTAAGCTACTAAGTTGTGTAACAGACTAACACTCATACCATAACATGAAGATTTTCAAATTCTACAACTAAATTCAACATTACTAAATACAACATCAAGGCCTTGTTTGATTAGCAGATTATAGCATAAGATTAGGATTATTAATTCATGGCACTCGCATTCCATTGTTTGGTTTCCGATTTTGTTATTCAAATTAAATTCCAATGGCCATTCTATCCAATAAAATTGGCCCATTTTTTAATCCTACAACTAATAACATAAAACATACATGTAATTGAGATTATATATTTCCATATCTATTGCGAAACAAACATGGACAAGGGGGAATTATGTACCTCACTAATCCAACTGGATAACTAATCCTATACTAATCTCATGAATTGTTAATCCCCTCACTATTAATCCAACAAATCAAACAGGCTCCAAGGCTATTATTAGGGGAGCACTTCAAAAAGCATAGCACACCATTTAAGTTCAAGTTTTTTTTATTTTATTTTATTTTTATAAGAAATTAAAATTTAAAAATTGCACTAGTAATGCTAAGTACTTGAATTTTTGAATGAATTCAATAAATAATTGAATAAATGAACTGTAAATTCCAATTTCAGTTATTTTCCGAATTTCACGTAATGATTCCAAGCTCAGAACTGAATAAATCCATTAATAGTTCAGTGATTGCTGAATTTGACTATGCAAAGTTCAATGCAAGCAGAACACAATCCAAGAAACATTGACTTAAATTGACGCGAAGAACATGTCAAAAACAACATAAAATCGAAGCTAACAGAACCGGAACTCACCTTCGGCATTACCAGAGGCCTGAAATAACCGAGAAAAAACCAGAAACAGGCAAAGAAAAGCCGAGGATGAGATCGCCGAGACCGCTCGATCCATTGCCACAACAATTGCTTCAACTGAAAACCTATGTATTCCTCATCAACTCTTAGAACTAGTAATTAAAAAAAAAAAAAAATTCAAAATCAAACTTTTAGTTGAAGGAAATCTAAATCGCTTGGTAGCCAAACATTGGCACCTATCGGTTGATTGAAAATGGGAATCGGAAGGGGAAGTCGTCGCCGGAGCTCACCGGAGGGGAACTGTTTGGAGCTGACTTTGACGCTGAAGGTATATAAGGAAATTTTCTTTCACTTTCCCGGGAAAATTCTGAGAGAATGCCGGAGAGAGAGATAGAGATTGAATATAACGGTCCGTACGGAAGGGGGTTAGAGAGAGAGAGTCGTTTGTGGCGGGGTTTTAGTCAAAGCCTCTCTCTCTTTCACAGTCCCTCACGCACTGTCTCTCTCAATCTCTGTTCTCTACTCTACTCTTGACTGGTATTTTCCTAGTAAAAGTTTGTAGTAATAGTTTTCTTTATTTTTATTTCTTGAATTTATTTTTTTTTTAAATTTCAAAAACGAACTTCCTTACATCTTATCCTACATACTGGGGGGAAGAAAGCTAGAGCTTAACCAAAGCCGTTGTCCCAAAAAGTCACAATTTTAAAATTTTCAAAGTACAAGAATTGTAAATCATAAAAATTTCAAAGTATGAAACTCTTAAAATATAATTCAATGAATGTGAGAAATAAATGAGTTAGTGGAAAGAATAGGCATTATCACAATTTGATAGAATAGTCATTTAAATTATTTTCACTTAAACAAGGCATACCAAAACAAGAAGAAGAAAATGCAAAGTTAAAATGAGCGTTTCATTTCAGCCCATTCTATCATAGCAAATGTGCTCAAAAGAATTTGGGTATAGAGAATCCTGTGTCAGCTATACTGTTAAAAAATTTAGACACAAGGTGGACGAAGTGTGTTATTTCGTCAACATGAGAGAGAAAGGGGGAGAGAGAGATGAAATGTCCTTTTTGCAACAATGGCTACATCTTTTATGAGCATATCCATTTTTTTAAAAATCTATTTTCTGGGTATTGACCCCTCTCTTCTTCAAAGATCGTTCCATAGGTAGATTCCGTTGAGCCTCAACAGAGCGTTTTTTTATCTCATTCATATTCTTAGATTCAGCAAACATGAGATGTGTACCACATTTGAAGAAGTACATCGAATTTTAGAGATATCCCTTTGCTTTCAATCTTCCAAGCTTTATTCAGATATCGCAAATGCTTAACAAAGCTATAATCAATAATTACAAATGCTCAAGTGTTATAATTTGCTTTAAGACTAAAAACAAAATGTATTTATTGGTGTATAAAATATATACTAATTGGACACATTACATAGCCTTTCTAGCCATATTTTTGCTTATACCTAAAAATTCATAATCATCGTCATATAAATTGAGCTATAAAAAAATAAAAAATAAAAACTAAAGAGGAAAAATTGTATACACATATGGTATATCTCACATTTGAATAAAGAGTGTGACTCCAAGAGACTTCTCTGTATGCCGAAAACAAAATCCATTTAAAAGATCATCTAGGACTGAACAATTCTTCTAGAGGGAGGTAGGGAGTGGAGTCGGGAAGGTTGTTGACTTGGGCAATGATCCAATCATTATTTTGGTGGTGGATATTGACGAACTCTTGCCAGAACATCTCTTCCTTCTACCACTCTTCCCACCTATCTGCCAACCCATCACCTTCAAGCATTCTGACAACTTCCGACATCTTGGGACGTTCCATTGGGGAGCTCAGCGTGCAGAGCAGAGCCACCTGGATAAGTTGCTCCACCTCATCTTCGACATAGTTTCCCTCCATATCTGCATCGACTAGTGTTTCCACCTTCCTGTCGTTCAGAATTCCTTTCACCTGAATTTTTTGGGTATTTTGAATCACAGATGTAGGTTATGAAATGATCTCATTAATAAGGAAGAGCACCGTCTATCAACTACTTTCCAAGTTAGAGAAAGCAACATAATAGTAAAAGAAAAGATCACAAAATCAGACATTTGAAAACTAATAATAATGAAACAGAGAGACAAAGGTGGCTTATGATTTTCAATTTTGATTCAAAATTTCCTTTTCTTTGTCCAAATTGAAATGTGTGAAAACTTCAATCCTAAAATTTCAATATAGAATTTATGGTGTCCAAGGTAAAGTCTAAGCCTCATATAGTATTATGGTGTATTTTTCTTTTCAAGGTTCAATACTATGAAATAAAAGATGACTAAATTCTAAGTTTCCTAGCATTTGAAAACATGATGGTCATTTAAGACTGTGATACTGTAAAAATCAGCAAATCACGATGATGACAAATTTCTTCAATGTAACTGTTGAGTGGACTTTACTTCAAAATGCATTGAGCGAGACATTTTTTTTTTTTTTTTTGAATATCATCATGAACATTACTTGACTCATTTTGAATTATATAAGCAACAAAATAACAATTCCATTTATGTTCTTCTGACAAACCTTATAGCTAGCAAATTGGAAGCAGATTTTTTACAAAAGGGCTTTTAAGATGAACTCAAAGAATGCTATGAGAACAGCCAACTTAAGTACCCTAGTTACGTAATGAAAACAGATCGTATAAGGAAAATAAATGCTTACCAATCAAGCAACATAACGTCGTCGTCATTGGCAAGTCAAGCAAGATCAAAAGCCCTATATCCAGTGATGAGCTCCAGAAGCAGGACTCCATACCCAAAAACATCAGTTTTCTCTGAAGACTTTCCAGTGGAGAGGTACTCGAGAGAAATATACCCAATTGTACCACGTACAGCAGTGGTAACATGTGTATCCTTGTAATCCATAAGTTTCGCTAACCCAAAGTCTCCAACAACTGCTTTGAATTCCTCATCCAACAATATATTTACAGCTTTGACATCACGGTGAATTATCTTTGGGTTGCAATGATCGTGCAAATATGCAAGGCCTCTTGTTGATCCCAATGCAATTCGCTTCCTTTTGGGCCAATCAAGTGGGGGTTATGAATCAGGTCGCTCTACAACAATGAAGCAATGAGATCATGGAAACATTGTTGAGATCAAGCAAGGTTAGGAATATTGATTTTAAAATTTTTCAACATTTGCTCAAAAACTTTGGGTCAACTACAATTTTTTAACTGTCAGCACTTAAAAGTACAGTATATGTGAAGAAATCTGAAAAAAAAATCAAAATAAAAACAATTCACTAAAGACAAAAAAAAATATGAAAATGTGATTCCCCCCCTCCTCCCAGTTTATTTTGCCTTTAGTGTTTTCATTTTCATATTTTAGTCTTTTTATTTTATTTTATTTTTAAACTTTTTAGATGCATCAAAAAAGTATTTAAAAAAACAAAAATATGCTCACTTCTATTAAAAAAAAAATAACATAACAAACCCTTATGATATTTATTTTACAATGTATTTATCAAGGACGGCTAGTTATGTTTTACAGTGCAACTAACCCTTAAAATAAAATTTTCTACCAGTTTTCAAAAATTGAGTTTTTTATTTTTCGTATTTTTTGTATTTAGTGAATTTTTTAAGCAAATTTTGTGCTTTTTAGATACACTTAATGTAAATACAATTAAAAAGTATAATATTTGTATAAAAAAAAACTTTAAAAAATTCACTAAATACCAAAAATACAAAAAAAAACATGAAAATTTGGGAACGTTTTTGTATTCTTATGTATTTATTGATTTTTTAAAATGTTGTTAAGCAACTCTGCTGGTCCCAAGCTCAAGTAATGGAGGACGGTTGTGTCTTAGGTAGCAGACAACCAACAGGTAAAAAAGCCGCTCGAATCTTTTATGACATGAAGCCTAATACTCTAAATCGATTAAATACTAGGTCGTTCCCCTTAAGTGACGCGTTGCGCCTGCCTCTGAGTGGTTCCAAAAATGAGCAAAGGGAGCTGCATCGACACCTGGGTGAGGTGAAAAACGGACAAAGGTTTCCGCGTTTTTCTGGACGAGCGCGTACAAAGAAACTAGTCCAAGATTATAAGTTTAGGGTAGCCACATGGAATATAAAAACTTTAATTGGTAAGGCTATAGAATTGGTAGATGTCATGATTAGGAGACAAGTTAGTATAGGTTTAGGTTAGCCACATGGAATATAGAAACTTTAACCAGTAAAACTATAGAATTGGTAGATGTCACAATTAGGAGACAAGTTAGTATAGCTTGCGTACAAGAAACAAAGTGGACGGGTGAAAAAGCTCAGGAAATAGAGGAAACCGGTTTTAAGCTATATTATAGTGGCAATGATAGACACAGGAATGGGTTAGGAATAATAGTTGCCAAGAGTCTTGTAGAAAATGTAGTTGCGGTCATTAGGAAATATGATAGGATTATGTTAGTTAAACTAGTTATTGGAGAGAATATAGTAAACGTTATTAGTGCATATGGCCCTCCAAATAGGATTAGATGATCAGACTAAGAGAGTTTTTTGGAACCAAATGGATGAGGTATTACAGGAGATACCCGTAGAAGAGAACCTAGTTATAGGTGGTGATTTCAACGGCCATGTAGGAGTAGATAAACTAGGGTATGAGAGGGTACATGATGGGTATGGTTTTGGTGATAGAAATAAGGCTGGAGAGAATATTTTAGATTTTGCGTTGACTTCTGATCTAGTGGTGGTCAATACTATGTATAAGAAGAGATATGAGCATTTGATAACCTTTAAGAGTGGACCAATTAAGAACCAAATAGATTACTTTCTAGTAAGAAAAGAGAACCGTCTAAAATGCGGTGGCCGTAAGGTGATTCCTAGAGAGAGCTTGACATCTCAACACAGGATTTTAGTACTAGATTTATGCTTTAAAGGGCAATACCAAAACTTGGAAAAATAGTGGGCATCGCAGGACTAGATAGTGGGACCTAAAAGGGGATAAACTAGATACATTTAATAATAGAATGGAAAAAGAAAGTACTTGGGACTTGGAAGATGATGCTAACACTATGTGAAACTCGATGGTCAATTGTATAAGGAGAATCTCAAGGGAAGTTCTTGGAGAGTCGAAAGGAAAGGGACCCAACTTTAGGGAAACTTGATGGTGGAGGGAGGAGGTCCAAATGGTAATAAAGATGAAAAAAGAGAGCTTTAAAAAGTGGCAGAATGATAGAACTGAGGAAAACCTTAAGCGCTATAGATTGGCCAATAAGGAGGTCAAAAAGGTAGTGACGGAGATTAAGTTGAAAGCTTATGATGACCTATACACTAGATTAGATAGTGAGGATGGAGAGAAGAGGATATACAAACTTGCTAAGATAAGAGAGAGCAAAACAAGAGATTTTAATCAGATTAAGTGCATCAAGGGTGAGGACTCTAAGCTATTGGTGAAAGATGAAGAAATTAAGGAGACGTGGAAGAACTATTTTGAGAAATTGTGAAATGAGAAACATGGAGGTATGTTAAAAGGGGAAGAATTAGACAATAATAAGGAACACCAGGACTATAGGTTCTATCATAGGATTAGGGACTTTGAAGTGGAATTTGCACTTAAGAAGATGAAATTCAATAAGGTTTTAGGACCCAATGTTATACCTATTGAAGCGTGGAAATGTTTGGATAAGAAGGGGATTGTTTGGTTGACTATGTTATTTAGCAAGATTTTGTTAACAAGAAAATTGCCAGAGGAATTGAGGAAGAATATTTTAGTGCCAATATATAAGAATAAATGAGATGTCCAGAATTGTAACAACTATTAAGTTAATGTGTCACGCATTGAAAGTGTGGGAGAGAGTAATGGAACATCAATTGCGAGATCTAATAGAAGTGTCAGAGAATCAATTTAGGTTTATGCATGGTAAGTCAACAATGGAAGCAATCTATCTTTTAAGGAGAGTAATAGAAAAATATAGAGAGAGAGAGAGAGAGAAGAAAAAAAGAAGAAGATATTTATATGATTTTTATCGATCTTGAGAAAGCATATGATAAAGTGTCCTGAGATATAATCTAGTGGGTGTTAGAGAAGAAAGGGGTGGCAAAAGGTTACATTAATGTGATTAGGGAGAGACGAGTGAATTTTCAATTTCTGTATGGTTACATCAAGGATCAACCTTAAGTCCTTATATTTTTGCTTTAGTTATGGATGAGTTGACGTGCAATATTCAGGATGATATGCCATTGTTTATGTGTTTTTGCAAATGATATCGTGTTAATGAATGAGACTAGAGAAGGAGTTAACACTAAGATAGACATTTTGGAGAAAAATACTTGAATCTAAAAGATTTAGGATAAGTAGAACTAAGACAGAGTATATGGAGTTTAATTTTAGTAATAGTCACAATGAAGCAAAGGAGAAATGAAGATTGAGGACCAAGAACTACCTAAGAGTGGACATTTTCGGTATTTAGTATGAATTATCACAATGATTTGGGAGATTGGTGCGGTTGTGGTCTACAGAATTAAGGCATGGTGACTTAAGTGGAGAGTACTGTGCAATAAAGGAGTACCTATTAGACTAAAAGAGATTCTATAAAATAGCTATTAGACCAACAATGTTGTATGAGATAAATTGTTAGGCAAATAAGAAACAACATGTAGAGAATATGAGTGTTGCTGAGATGAAGATGCTAAGGTGGATGTGTGGCAAGACTAGAAAAGACAGAGTGAGGAATGAGTATATTCGAGAATGGGTTGGAGTAGTACTGATAGAAGATAAGTTGAGAGAGAATAGATTGAGACGGTTTGGTCATATACAACGGAAACCAACAGAGGTAATGGTGAAGAGATTCGATACAGTGACGGCAGATGGTAGTGTTAGGGGAAATTGTAGACCTAGATTGATGTGGACTAGTTAAGTAAATAGAGATATGAATCTCCTTAATTTGACTAACGAAATGGCCATGGATAGAGTCGAGTGGAAAAAAATATATTCATGCAGCCGACCCCATTTGATGAGACTTAAGGCTTGATTTGGTATGGTTTGGTTTGATTTGGTTTTAAAAATATTTTACTTTTTAAGTACATCTATGTTAGGTGCATCTAAAAAATTAATTAATTAATTATTAAAAAATTCACTAAAAAAAATAAAAAATACGAAAAATAAAAATCTCAATTTTCAAAAAATTAAAATTCAAAAAATTAAAACCAAATAGGGTGTCACAAAACCATTTTTGAAAATCAAACTAAACATACTAAAGCAGTGTCTAAACAAACTAAACTAAAGCAATGTCTCTCTCAATCTCTGTTCTGTACTCTACTCCTTGATTGGTATTTTCCTATTAAAAATTTCTAGTAATAGTTTTATTTTTATTTCTTGAAATTTTTTTTAAAAAAAAAAAACATTTCAGAAACGAACTGCCTTACATTCTATTGGGGGGAAGAAAGCTAGAGCTTAACTAAAGCCTTGTCCCAGAGCTGTCAATGAATGCAACTGTTTCAGAAGAAATAAATGAGTTGGTGGAAGGAATAGGCATTATCACATTTTGTTAGAATAGTCATTTAAATTATTTTCACTTAAATAAGATATATTAAAACAAGAGAAAGAAAATGCAAAGTTAAAATGAGCGTTTCATTTCAGCCCATTCTATCATAGCAAATGTGCTCAAAAGAATTTAGATATAGAGAACCCTGTGTCAGCTATATTGTTAAAAAATTTAGGCACAAGGTGGATGAAGTGTGTTATTTCGTCAACATGAGAGAGAGAGAGAGAGAGAGAGAGAGGGGGGAGAGAAGAAATGTCCTTTTTGCAACAATGGCTACGACCCTCTTTGGTGGAGCTTTTTTGAAGTTAAAAGCTAATAATCAAAAAGCAGAAACTAAAAGCACCCCTACCTCAGCTTTCAAATAATCAGTTTTTTTCAGTTTATTTAA